GAGTTTTCTGTTTTGCATATCATTAAATATACTGAATAAATTAGGTATTTGTATAAATGTATACTACAACCTTTCTGCAATCAAGTGTATATATATATATATATATACTTGATAAATAAATAGCCAAAAATATTATATGTGTGTGTGGCTGTTGAAGTACACTAAACAAGGGGACAATAAATTATTTTATAGATATGAATGGATATTTAATGTTAACATACAAAGCTATATGTATGTAAATGAACATAGATAAGATATAATGTGAATCTATAGATAACTCAAGAACTCAATTGAGATCATATCTGAGTTTCAATTAAGTTATAACTTTTAGATTATTCTTAAATGACATTAATGAGTTCATGTTTTTTATATATGTTGGTATTTCTTCCCATATTCTTTTGAAACTGAGTACCGAAATGTACCATATGTTAACTCCGAATAGAACTCACACTYAACTMAACYTTTAGCCCAGCGAATACCCATTGCCCTACCAACTATGCGAAAAGCGTACGCGTCTTACTAATAGTTCGTCTTGTGTTTGAATTGCACAGTTATGATAAAAACTTTCACTTCCAAGACCTTTATTCATATTTATTTGTACATACCTCTGRGTAAGACACATCAATAGTAGACTGTACCGGTTTGTTCATATAAGTCATGATAAGGGTCGACGCTTGAAATATTAGCATCCCAAAGCTTGTCAAAAATGCTAAAATCCAGAGAGTTCGCCATATATAGTTTTGTGCGCTGTATATTTGATTCATTCCGTGGGCTGTAGTTTTCTCAGAGAAGTCTTCTACAATAGCGCTGAAGGATGGTCTTGTTTGCCTTTTTACCATAGTGTCACCCATCATCGGCTTAGATTGTATGTTGATTCATCTTTTCTGGGTAAAATATCATAATATTTAATGATGAGAGATAGATAAATGATTATGGTGTTCATTTCCTAATTCATTARGAAACACTGATATGATATCTTTAGAAATTAGATCCCAGAATAAGCCAGAAGTTTTTGTCAGATTTATTTTGAACACAAAATATTCAGATGTAGCTGTAAATTGTAAGTTGGTACGTTGCAAGCCTTGCAATATACCAACTTACAATTTACAGCTACATCTGAATATTTTATAAATATAGTATATATTTTATCAGTGATGGAAAAAAAGAGAAAAATATAATGAGAGAGTGATCATGAGCTAGTTCTACCTCACCTTGTGTCAACCGAAAAGACCTGAAATGAGCCCTTTACTGGCACTAATTGACTCTTTTCATGGATTATTTTCAGTCACAGATGATGAGTCTGACCAGAATATCGTTCGAGTGTGGATGTCAGCTTTAAGTGTCATATATTTCTCCAAAAGATATGCATTTTGATAAAGCAATTATGTTTAGTTTTTAATAGCTTATTAATATAATATGATGAGCATTCCATTAGGGCGAACCCAATTAACTTATGTGSTATTTTTCACGAAAAGTATTGGTGGTTGAGTCGGAACTGAGTCAAATATTAAAACCACTACTGCGAATTTAATTAAAATAGAATTTCTAATTAATACTTTTTTCTTTTCTCCTTTATTTTTAAGAGCGATTTGCTGTAAGATAATGTCAAGATCCAAATATCCAGTGAAGATTTCCTTATTGTCTTTMGATGTAAGAATTAAAAATGACTTGTTAGAACCGTTGGCTAGGAAGATCTAGGAAGTTGGGCTAATAGGGTGGCTTGATTGATATCAACTGAAAAAACAACACCATACACAGTGCTAAGGGATATATTAGATCCTGTCTCCATAGTAACMAAACATTTGCCAAGCACTAATTACAAATATAATAACGTTAGCTGTTTGCTTTTCAGAGTCGTTTTGAGCGATTTCATTTCAAAATTATTTTGCATTCCAAACATTAACCGCCTGCTTCCCCGGTAACTGAGAACTCAAACTCAAACTGGATCAGTCATAACTGATAATTACAAGAACTGGTAGTTTTATAATTTTCAGCTAATAAAAGGAAAGCGTTTGATTGGCATTCTCACTGCACCAGATAAAGTAGTTTTAAATATTAAAGAAAGACAATAAAGGGACATTTAATTACTTTTTGCGTTGATTTTAATTTTGAAAACATATGTGGATTGGTAGTAAACAACAACATATATAACATTCGTATGGCAGTTGACCTCGTACCTGTATTGGTTTGTTATTGGGTTGTTACTCACGTTTTTTTACGTTTTCTTTATTTAAGTAAAAGAAAAAGAAACAGACCTAGGGCTGAAAAGCAATCGACATTTTAGGAAACATTAGGAAAAGCAAAACATACGAAAGATGTAAAGATAGAAAATAAGGGCCCAACATTTAGCCAACATTTTTGGCAGAGCCGATAACACGTTGTGTCGTGAAAACATGATAAACAAGTTTAGGGCGATTTTTACTCGGACCCGAGAAAGCGAAAGCTGTATGATTGTTGGCGAGTAGTCAAAGACAGCAATGGAATTAGTGTCTAATATGTATTAAGCTCATGCTAGGTTTTCGCAGGCCAATCACTGTAACATTCATCCAATATTAAAAAATCAAATCCCAAAATTGTTGGCAGACCGTTGCAGACCATGACAAACAAATGTGCCAGTAATTGGGTCAAAGTTTGTCGGGTCAAATGTTGCGCCGTTTGTCAGGGCCCTCATTTTAAGATCTATACATTAAAAGTGTCACTATTCTTTATTCTATAATGACCGAGAGTTAACTAATACGAAGGTAATTTAGCTTCAGTTGCTCCTTTTATTCGAATTCGTTCTTTGGACTACAAACCTTAATCTCGGCGTTTTTCTTAACAGCGTACATATTCATACTTCACATGTTTTTTGATGGTTTTATAAATAAGATTTTTTAAGCTATACATGGTGTAGTTAATAATCAGTTGCCAGCAGTTTTGTGTAATATGCTCACCCTTATCAATATTTGACACGGCAACGCTAATAAATCCGTTAAGAAAGAAGATATCAAATCTTACTTAAATATTGCTATGTGAAAAGTAGTTCATATTTGAAATTGGGCTTTCCGAGTCAAGACTTTTGGCTCGAGAGAAACCGTATGACTTTGTCTGATGGCTTTTATATATTTGTACTTCATAACAGCATACTTTTTCAGAACTTGTTACGGACGGATGCGCTGCAAGTCCTGTAAGACCGTACAGTTATACGCTAAGAAAAAAGGGTTAATAAATTCAATTATGTAAAATTATTCATCGTCAACATCCCTCTGATTTATTTTCTTTGGCCCCTAATTTTAAATTAATACCACTGTGGATTATTGAATTAACTCTTTATGGAAATCAAAAACAGCAAATAAAGATGAAGAAGTCCCTTTTGCAGAACACAGTCACGCGAATGGTATTGCCTGACGAAAAAAAATCAATTGATTTCAGTTATTTATAAAACCTTTTTGCTGGATTTCTGATCTTATGTTGTTTTCAAAATGCAATTTTTCTCTTGACCATTCTTTTGATTTTAAGATAGAAAGCATTTTCATCATTTTTTGTTTACCAACCAGCAAAGCATTTGTTTGATCAAAGCATACTATGATCAAAGCCGTTATCTCGTTATTACGTCACGTCATTAAAAAGAATGAGACAGACGGAAAAAAAGTACTGAATTTTCCAAAATATGACAAAAAAGCAATTTACTTATGAGCCATATTCATTTACTATAACATACTGACACAAAAACTAAACTTGGACTTCCCACCATAGTAGAAAACTGTGCTTTTTTGATCGCCTCACAATGAAAAAAATATTTTTGTTTCTTCTAGTACTCTGTTTTCTCTATATACGTCTTCGAAACTGGTTATGCTTGCTTGAGATAACAAAATATAAAGCTTCCAGAAATACATTTTCCCCATATTTAGCTATATATGATCAACTTTATTTTATGTTAATGTTTTGGTTGAATCTGCAGTAGCAAGAACTTGTGAGACCAGTCCTTAAAGATAAACATCTGTCTCCATTACGTGTCCTTGGTCGAACCATTTTAATGACATCTGCACAGCAGGGCTGTCTCTATAGCAGTCCCTTTTATCACCAACATTACGGTAAAACTATTATTCATTAATGTTCTATTTATATTATACTAATAATCAAGGTCAAAGTCAAGTGAACGAAGGTGCGGATAAGTCAAATTAATGAACGAGCAACTGAGAACTGAACGAATTGTGAACGAAAAAAAAGGTGAATGGAACGAGCGATCAACCGACTGACCGACCGACCGGGCGAAGGAATAATCGAGCGAACAAAAAATGAAGTGATGATGACCAAAAGTCCAAAACTAGTTATGAACTTCTGTAATGACTTATAAATTTCTTCTCGTGTGCTAAACGAGCTAAATGACCACAAGTCCATAACTAGTCATGAACTTCTGTAATGACTTATAAATTTCTTCTCGTGTGCTATAACGAGCTCAAAAAACGATTCTCACTGATTTGGCTTCATTAGTTACTGTTACAGTCAAACCAGCTCATGCGTTTCTATAGAGGGTCAACATTCGGTTTATATTATTCGATGTTTGATTTTCATCTTGGAATGAAACTTGCATTATAATGAAACAAACGTCGTAAATTTGAAATCTGGGCCTTATTGAAAGTTTATATAGTTCTTCACAGGTTCGTGTAAAGCCGAAAATATTGATCTGTGTGGTATGATGTTTTCAGTTTAAAAAGTCTATTCACAAATGAACATTTTGATGTTTTGAGKTAAAGACCGAGATCGAAATTTACGACGTTTCATTAATGCAAGTTTCAAAGCAAGATGAAAATCAAACTTTCAATTACTAAACGCCGGAATGTTTGAACCTTGATAGGAAGGCATGAATTGGTTTGACGTTTACATTGGCACTCGTTTGATGTGTAGGCGTAAACTCAGGTGCCCATATCTAGCTGATCTGACGTCATTTACAACACTGCAAAACTGAGGTGTCACGAAGCCTGTAAATATTGACCAGCGAAAAATAAAAACATTGTGTGGCTGTTATCAAGCGCGTATTAGCAACATTATTTTTTCATTTGGGGACCTGGAAATCCGTGATTTCAAGAGGAAAAGTGACACCTCAGTTTTAGAAATTTTCTCGATTCTGATTGGCTAACATATTTTTATGCAGGAAAAGCATATGCAGGAAAAGCATTCAGTTTCATCTAGGGAGACTAGGGTCCATTTATGAAATCGCCTTGCTCGCCTTCCCGTATTTTCCCGCTAGTAGTTTGCAGTTGTTCAAGCTTGTTAGAGAAGTGGAAGGTGGCTTGTTGTTGTAAACCAAAGAGATGGCTCATATCCATTATGACATGAAGTTAAACACTGAAAAGCAAGAGTATTTGAACTAAGAGAAGGAATCCCCGTGCCCCATCATGTGCACACTTTGATGCTATATTTAGAATCTATTCTAAAAATATCATCCAATGATATTATTTATTTGATCGTTTGATTTTGTGCATGCGCATAGTATGCGCGCGCTCTACGCTGTTTGCTAACGTTTTCTTGTGCTTTTCTTATGTTCAAATCAGGTGGTGTGCGACACGGGTTCGCAAAGCATGATGGGTGAAAACGTTAAATGTGCTCATTTACTTCTGACTGTCGTAGTGTACAGAGCTCCAGCTGCTTCTTCCGAAACTGAAAATTTACGGTATTTCTGATGTTATTTTCAAAAGTTAAAGATCTTGCAAATAACCCACCCCTCCCTCTCCCAGTAAAAAAGAAAAGAAAAAGCTAAGCAAAGTTCTCCATGTTCAATAAAATACGTAAACTCGTACAAATGTTTGAAAAGTTGAAAACCTTCACAGCTTCAGCTTATAAATGGCTTTGGCTGTTTTTATTATGAAAAAAAAAAAACAAAAACAGTTTTAGAGTCGTTTAGATTCAAAGCTAACTAAGATAATACTGGCGTTTTGTGATAGTTCAACCAAATAACAATTGAAGAAATAGTTGAATGTAGTTTGATAACATCTAAGTTAAGTTAGATGTAGTTCCTTTCCAGATTAGTTTCTCAAACCTTTCTGAAATTTTCAATCACTTTTTTTACGAGTCCACTCTTCGAGTTGGTTCCCAAAGACAAATCCTATCAATTGAGACTCCTCATAGTTACATCGAGACATCAGACTTTTGAAAATTATAACTTTTTTGCTGTATAAAAGGCATAAATTCTAGTACGTATAGCAAAACATTACGACTAAAGTTTACTCCTTTCTCGGCTTGCTTTTAGAAAAAGTGCGGTGTCAATCATTAGCTCTCACTTTTGACAGCTAGTTGTCCAATCAAACAGCTCGTCAAAGAGGTGAATCACGACTGCAAATGGGTTTCCACGTTTGTAAACACATGCATAGTTTTGAAACTAGTAAGCGGCAAAAAAGTGTGTTTTTTGCAACGTTATAATAAAAAGAGTATTATTTTATCAAGTCATGATACTGCTGTGTATGTTTAAGGACTTCTTCGAGATTTTTGTTGGTTTCCAAGTCGTAATTTCGGGAAAAAACTAGACGTTGTACGGTGCTTCGTCTTTTTGATGTTGATGTGTGTGGCAGTACACAAATACACTTGTATACGCTTCAAGTAAAACTAAAATATCAGAGAAACTAAAAGAGGTCGACGCGGGTTGACCGGAACTTTTCACTAGGTCATTCTTCACTACACTTATTCTTATCCATTCAAATCCTAAATTAAATGATTTCGACTACAAATAGAAAGGAGTTATAGGAACTTCCGGTAGAAGAGAAACTAAATGAAACGTAAACAATAACTTTATAAACTTCCCACTTTTAAGTGAAGAAACACAAGATATTTTGTTTACTTTTACTTCAAACTTCACTTATCAGTAGGAGAAGGCCTATCCTTTCCATCAGTCCTTGCAACAAGCTCTTAATTTTTAGTTTTGAAGAAATAGAGAGACTTTTTCTTCAGCAATAGGAATTTGGAAAATGCTTCAATCTCTCTTTTTCTTTTCTTTTTTTTTTTTTTTTGCATGACATTCGGGAAACAAAAACAGGGAATCTGATTGGACGATGCATGTAACGTGCACCGTGTCGCACAACACCTGACATCGTAAGAAAAGCTCAAGAAAACGTTGGCAACTATGCGAGTGCAGAAAATCAAACGATCAAATAAATGATATCATTGGATGATATTTTTAGAATAGATTCTAAAAATAGCATCAAAGTGTGCACATGATGGGGCACGGGGATTCCGTCTCTAAGTTCACATTCTCTTGTTACAAGGCTATATAGGGGTAATTCCTTCTCTTAGTTCACTTTCTCTTGCTGAAAAGATCATAGATAGTTTTGCACGCCGCCATCCTCGCCGAATGGAACTAGTCGACATTTTATCGTAACACGGCCGCACACCCAAAGTTCCTTAGGTAGGTATCCAGAAATATTCAAGGTTAAACTGAACTAACTCATGTGATTTAATATGAAACGGGACTGTTGGATAGGTTATCCTTATCAGGAGCGCCCCTAGGCCAGTGATGTGCCTCATGGGAAAAATGATGATGCAAGAGAACGTTATTGTTGTGCGGAGATTTGCAAAAATGAACCCCCCCCCCCNGATTCTAAAAATAGCATCAAAGTGTGCACATGATGGGGCACGGGGATTCCGTCTCTTAGTTCATATTCTCTTGTTACAAGGCTATATAGGGGTAATGCCTTCTCTTAGTTCACTTTCYCTTATGTTGCTGAAWAGATCATAGATAGTTTTGCACGCCGCCATCCTCGCCGAATGGAACTAGTCGACATTTTATCATAACACCGCCGCACACCCAAAGTTCCTTAGGTAAGTATCCAGAAACATTCAAGCTTAACTGAACTGAATATTTAAACTGAACTAACTCATGTGATTTAATATGAAAATGGGACTGGTGGATAGGTTATCCTTATCAGGAACGCCCCTAGGCCAGTGATGTGCCTCWTGGGAAAAATGATGATGCAAGAGAACGTTATTGTTGTGCCGAGAWTTGCAAAAATGAACCCCCCCTCTTAAAGTCCTGGATCCGCCACTGTTTARCTAATTGCTAGTTTACGGTGTAGTCCACAAATTAATWAACGTAAATGAAGRAATAATCAAAGAAACATAAAGTGTTTTAAGATGGAATCGAATGAATGACTTACCCAACATTTTAATATACAAATATAGACTAGGAGCTCCACTTGCGTTGCACCTTCATAGCTGAAAACGATTACCTGAAGGAAAAAAACCCACAAAAACAAAAACAGAGAGAGACAGCCCCACAGACAGACTAACAGACAGATAGACAGAGACAGCAGGCCCGTAGCAGGGGTAAAATGATTGGGGGGAGGGGGGGGGGGGGCTCGTTTTGCCACGCCCCATATGACCATAATATCAGCATGTCTTGTTATTAGTTTTCATCATTTACAAATGCCAACTATATGAACTTTTTTTAAAAAAATGAGTCGTCTCTATCAATTTTAAGATAATAGTGTTTGAAATTTAGCTGGACGTTTACTTAAAAAAAAGTTGCGAAATTAATGGGGGGCCCAGGCCCCCTCGGCCCCTCCCCCCGCTACGGACCTGGACAGAATCAAGAGAGAGACAGAGAGAGACTAGAGAAGGAATATCAGTTATTCATCAAGATAACGGATATCACTACACAAATGTAAAATATGACCTGGAAACGAGAATTAAGAGAGAGACAGAGAGTGAATAGAGA